CATCTGGAGTCCCCATCTCTTTCATGGCAAATTTCCGGATTTCTTTGAGTGCCTGAGGGGCACGTTTCTTGAAGCCCACACCATGGATGCACTTGTGAATGTTGATGGTGTATTCCCGGGTCACCACCTCGTTGATGGCAGAACGGCCCTTCTTCTTGCCACCCTTCTTTGCAGGAGCCATTCTGCCGGGCCTAAGCTGGAAAGAAGGGCTCACTTTTTAAGTTTCTTTTAGCTCATGTTTCAATATTAGGTAACATTTTTTTATCTGTTTTATGCGCCCCTCTTTTTGGCATGTTTTCACGGCAGGGGGGTTTTTCTCCTTTTTATATTTTTTTTCTTATAATAATTTTGTTTTGGATTTGACTACAAACCTCTTCATTTTTACAGGAAAGTAGTTTTCCTGAATTTTGAGGGTATGGGTAGATAGATCATGACCTTTCTTTCTAATCTCATGACTCTAGAACTCTCCCATCTGTTCTTTTCACAAAAAGAAAAGATAATCCAGTACTTTGAGAACTTTTGCCACGATGTGATTATATACACAGTTTATGGCTTTTTGGTCTTTTTTCTAATTGTGCTGTCTTAGTTTGGAGATCTAGAAATAAGAAAATAACAAATACCACCTCTATCCTGCCAGATTTAGGTTTTTTGGTTTTTGGTTTTGGTTTTTGTTTGTTTTTTTTTTATAAAAATCATACATCCTTTTTATTGTTAAGTCATAAAGAGGTATCAAAATTAAAAGCAAAATTACAGGGTAAGACTTAACAAAACTACTAGGAGCATCAAAGGAAGTGAAATGGGACCAGGCACAGGGCAGTATGAATTAATGAACATGGGAAGGACAAAGATGGGGAGAACAGTGAACATGTGCTGAAGATACTAGGGAGAGGATCTGGTGAAAATTTTGATCTTAGACAAGCACCTAGGTAAAGAAATAATGGGTAAGATTTCTAAACCCCTCTATGTGCTTAAGAGTGATCCTCGCCATTGACGCTGTCTCTGTCATCCTCTCCTTCCTCAGCCTCTTTTTCATCATCCTTGATCAACTCTAGCTGTTAGTCTGCTCGGTTCCTTTTCGATTTTTTCCAGGTTTTCCAGAAGAAAGTCCACTTTTTGTTTTATCTGGGTCAACTCCTTCCTAATGGCCTAAATGTCATCTCCTTTCAACTTTTCAGAGTTGGAAGACGATCCTCGTTGTCCACTTTTAGAATTGAAGCTTTTGCCCCTCTGTGAAGTGTTCCCTGATACACGCTAGTGTTTCGAGGGCACTACAGCATGAGCAATAGGAGGTGGCGGTGGAACATGTGCTGGGTAACTGTATATCCTGTCATAATAATCACATTGGAAGTCATAGTCCAAATCAAAAGATGAGCCGTACATCTCCGCTGCAGATCGTTTCACACCTGCTTTTCCTGGGTTCACTTTTGGCTCTGCAGCCCGATCAACATCTAAAACCCGGCTGGCAATCATACTGCCATCCTCTCCTGCCACAGCAGCCCGGGCATTCCTCTCATTAACATACTGAACGAAGGCAACGCCCTTATGAACAGAGCAACCCACAATTTTGCCATACTTCGAGAAGAATGCCTCCACATCAGACTTCTTGATCACAAGAGTGTTGAGATTCCCAATGAGCACACGGGAGTTCATGGAGTGAGGATCTGTCTTGTTGGTAACATTGTGGCCATTGCGATTGATCATAAGATTCCTCCCAGAGCCAAAAAGTATAGCTGAAGATCAAAAACATCTCACAAGAAGGTGAGGGAAAAAGATTCAATTCTGAATCTCTCGCTCCCAAGTTCTAGGCAAAGAAACTGACTGCAGCTGGAGGTAGGAAATGCAGCTACAACCACTCTGTCTCCAACTCTTCACAAAATAGATTTAGGTTTTTTTCATGTCATCCTCTCCTTCCCAGTTGAGAACAATGCTCTATTATTGTCATTATCGTGGTCATGCAAATTTTGTTAAATTAATTGAAAAGCTTTTTTATTTTATGCTTTAGACTTTTAAAAAAATAATTTTAAACATGTAAAAATGTATATTTTAATAAGTATAAAGTATATAAACAATTAGGTAAGCTTGGAGCTGACCAAGATACATAAATTAAGAGATACAAGTGTCTATCTAAATTTTCTATATTTCTTTACAGCCTATTTACTAAAGTAAATTGTTTAATATACAATTTCTCATTTGTCATTTTGTAAGTCCTTCATTGTAAAGACTTCTGTCTGTTGAAAACAGCAGCCACAGTGATTACTCTGGACCACCACATTGGATAAATTCAATTTCTTCTTGAGACAGCAGTTTCTTTCTGAATTTCTGAGGTAAAGTTTTCATTATTTCTGCCGTGTCGGTAGACCCTGATACATCAGCAAATATGGTGATTTACTTCCCTTAGAATGCTGTGAATCTGCAGAAGAATGGATGGTAGTCCTACTGACCTCAAAGCTTCTGATACATTGGGTTTAGGATTGTCTCTTCTGTCAGGAAACCTTATTAATGGCATATGTGGCTTCACTAGCTACTCGACCCTGTTGGCAGACACCATGTTGCTGCCCACCATGACCACAGGGAAGGTTAAAATATAATTTAAAAATAATTCTTATATTTTTTCTTGGTTGGTTTTTTTCTCTTTTTCAATTTATTTTCACATCTTGGGAGATTGTGATATGGTACCACTGACAGGGGCTTACCATGCCACAATCCTCCCCCAACTTCCCAGCCAATCAAGACCATGAGGTGCATACATATGCCCAGTGTGTTCAGGTCCACCCCAGGCCTTCCACATAGCTTCAGTATCACACAGCAGTGCCCTGTCACCTGCCCTACCATCCTGATTATGGTACTTTGGGAAAGTCCTAAGTACATGTGGTTCTCTGCTAGGATCCTGAATGCTTAGGAGAAAAATGACACAACCTTGCATATTAGTACCAGAGGGAAAGGGAAACTAAGAGAGTGGAGTTGCAGAAGCTGAATGTTTTTCAAGAAGATGACAGCATTTATTCTGCAGAAATCAGTTCATGTGAAGGAAGCATTACTGGGTAACCATGTGAAAGTCCCTGGTGATGATCCATAAGAGAAGGAGAAAGTAGTGTGGGAAGAGACAGTCACTGTAGAGCAGACTAGATGGAAGGCCTTTGAGAGGAGGAGGGCTCAGGATACAGCGTTACGGAACCTGCCATTTAGTGGGCAGCCCACCAGAGAGGAGGGACATCAGGAGCCTGCCAAGTGATGAAAGCTAGGCCACGTTCAGCATGAGGGCCAGCAGGATGATGGCAGAAGACTCCACTACATGTATGGGCACGGTGGCGTGGATAGCCCAAACTAAACGAGAAGGGGAAGCTGAAAGTCCTTGTGGACAGGGCTGAGGAATCAATAGGGAGGTGAGGAATTGCAGTCCATAGGTAGAAGAACTCTAGATGTTTTCCTACATAAAAGGAAGAAGGCTAACTTTAAGAATGTGAGGGATTCAATAAGGGTTGCTGAAGTTGCTTTTAACTTGAGTATATTTAACAACCAAAGAGAATGAGACTCTAGAGAGACAAAAGCTGACTAGATAAGGATCAAGTCAACAGCATCAGGCTCTGAGAAATTGCATGCAGGACCCAGGGAAGGACAGTTTTCTACTCCTAGCCCTGTCCTGTTAGGCAACAGATTGATTCAGTGCAGGAAGATAGTACCTGAAATATTTGTTATTATTATTATTTTTTTTAATTTGACAAGAGAGAGAGAAAGTGAGAAAGCAAGGTGACGGGTCCAGGATTCAAACCACAGTCAGCCACACGGGAGTCCAACACCTTACCCACAACACCATAATGCCTTTATATAATTTTTAAGCAACAGTTTATAAATATTAAAGATCTATTATTAAAATACTCACCATTTGGAGATACGAAAAAGGTTAGTCCTTTTCCCGTAGATTTAAAATTCATTTTGGAAACTTTTTCATCACTTAGAGACTTCCTGATCTTGGGCTTTTACATTAAAAAGAATCATAAAGTAAAATATTACTTCTGCATCATTATGAACTAAAATTAGTTTTCTATATTACAAACAAAAAATTATAAATGAGGTCACTTTTCTTTTAGATCATTTGACCTTAAAAAAAATTTTTTTTATTATAATTTGTTAGAGGGTGTATGCGCTTGCCAGAAAGAGAGAGAAAGAAAAAGTGAGAAAACATCCCTCGGGGGGATGATCACACCACAATCCCTTCTCCTCCATTCTCCCCTCAGGACCTGTGGACTCACGCAAATGGTGTATTTTTCAAGTCACCAGGTTGGGGATTTAAACTGGGGATTTAAACTACGTAGTTGACCATAATGGGATCCAGTCGCTTAACCACCACACCACCTGGCTAGCTCAAATTTGACTATGTTTAACCTTCATAAAATACTGATATTTGTACTGCTAAGGAAATGAATAACAGAAAGACTGCATCTACTGCAAGGCTCATCCCAAAACCCCAAAGATTTAAAAATATGCCCTGAAACCATTTGGGAAGCATATATTACATGCAATTACCTTTGCTTAGATTCATATTTTAATGGCTTTAATTACTCCCACATTTCTATCTCCAGCTAGATCTTATACTTGAACTTCAGACTTGTCTCCAGCCATGTCGTTCAGTGTCACCACTAGGATGCCTAATTAGGAATTTAAGCCTAATGTGTCCAAAATTAACCCCTTAATTTGGCCCATAAAACTTATTCCCACTGTCTGATCTTACCCATCTAATAAATGGCAACTCTATTCTTCCAGTTGCTCAGGCCAAAAACCTTAGTGTCACCCTTGCCCCCTATTCCCTTTCAAACCCCTCATCCTTCAAAACACCTTGGACCTGTGCCCTCCCCATCTCTTTAGTCCACGTCACCATCACCTTAACCATGATGGTTCCCGAGCATCCTTATTGGTTTGTCAACAGTGAAGCCATAGAGAGCCTAGTGATGCCCCATAAAGACAGCTTGTCATCCATTTCACTCATAATGAAAGCCAGCCACAGCCAGATACGTAAAGAAGTAAGTGTAAAGAAGTATGGCTTGTGTTCAAACTGCCTGAGTACAGATTCCTGGCCCCAATACTTTCTGGGTATGAGACCACAGGCAAGTTACTTTTCTGTGCCTCAGTTCCCTCCTAGAGAGTAACTATATCTGAAGGTTGTTCTGGGCATTTAATGAGTTAATACCTAGAAAGTGGTTGGCATCTGGTGAACCCCTGGTAAATGTTAGCTATTGTGATCATCTCCCTCCCCTCATTAGCATGTGAGGTCCACAAGAGGATAGGTTTTTCTTCACTGCAAGGTCCCTCACACACACAGAAGAGTGCTCTTCATAGGCACACGATAGTGGTTCACTCTACAACCATGTAACTGTTTGTTTCCTGGTCAGTGATAAACACAAACCTCTGATTTCCTTATTTTGTTCATATCTGACAGGAGTCCTAGCTTGCTTGAAGATGACTTGACGCTGCCATAGGGTACATCAGATTCATGGCTTGTGGCTGCACTCTGGCTCCTGTTCTGGATGATCTGAGCAATGACAAATACAGACGAGATCTCTGTATAACATATACATGTGTGTATATATGTATATATATGTATATATATTAATATATTGGGTCAACGGAAATGTCAGACATATTTTTCTATGCCAAAAATGCATACATTTATGCATATACACACATCTATATATATTACATTAATAAAGTATAATTGATTTGCAGTAAAGTACATATAAACTGTACTATTTGGTTTGACCTATGTCTATTCAGTGAAGCCATCATGTCAGTCAAGACAATGAACAAAATATCCACCACCCCCAAATTCCTTGTGCCCCTTGGTAATCTATCCCTCATCATCCATCCCCAGATTATCACCAATTTGTACTATAGATTACTTTGCACTTTCTAGAATTTTATATAAATGGACTCAGCAGTTATAAACGTTTTTTACATTTTTGCCATAGCACGTGTACACTTGCTGGAGAGGAGACAGTGAGTGAGAAAGTGAGACATTACCCCTCACCCCCCACCGGGTGAGGCTGTATTCCCTTCACCTCCATTCTCCTCTCAGGATTCTGGGCATGTTTGCACGTGCACCCTGCATGATCTTCAAGCCACTTGGTCTTGGACTCAAACCATGGTCAGCTATGTGGGAATCCAGCCACCTTAACCACCAGGCCACCTGCTGGCCCCTTGCCTGGCTACTTTTACCCAGCATAATTGCTTCAAGATCCGTCTATGTGGTTGCAGGTAGCATGAGTTACTTTCTTGCCGAGTCATACTCCACGGTATGACTACAGTATGACCAGTTTATCTTGATGGATTGTCTACAGATGTCGACCCTTGGACTTCTTTTACAATCCCAGGATATGGTCTAGCTTGGTATATTTCACTTACACCAGAAAAGAGCACGGATTCAGCTGTTGTTATTTAGATCAAGTTAGTTAATGGTGTTATTCAAAGTTTCTATAAGCTTACTGCTTGTCTGTTTCTTTGCTCTATTAATTACTGAGAGCAGGGTTGAATCTACAATTTTAATTGTGGATTTGTCTATTTTATCTAGCAGTTTTTGCATGTATCAGTACTCCGAAGTTCTAACACACAGATCCACTTAGGATTATTATGTCTCTCACTTTTCTTTTTTTTTTTTTGAGAGGTTTTTCCTATAGGGCACGTGTGCTTGCCAGAAAGACAGAGAGAGATAGAGAGACAGAAAGCGAGAAATCACCCCCCTGGGGGTGATTGCGGCCACACCCACAATCCCTTCTCCTCCCTTCTCCTCTCGGGATCTTGGGCATGCATGCACACAAACCCAGCCTGAGTTTAAGCCACAGGGTCCGGGACTCGAACCATGGTCAACTACAGGGGAGTCATAACACATTTTGCATATAAAAACATGAAAAAATATGTCAAGACTTTTCCAACAACCCCCCCCCAAATTTTTTAACTAATTAATAAATTTATTTAGTTTTGCTATAGGGTATATGCACTTGGTAGAGAGAAACAAAGACAGGTAAATGAGAAATCACCTCCCAAGGGGATGGCCATGCCACAGTCCCTTCTCCATTCTCCTCCCAGATTCTGGGCACACACGCACACACGCTCATGATTTTCAAGTATCTAGTCCAGGCCTCAAACCATGTTCAGCCATGTGGGAATCTAGCACCTTAACCAGCACACCATCTGCTGGCCCCAGCATGCTTTTTTTTTTTTTTTTAAGTTTCTCTCTGTGTACACATCAGAGAGAAGAAGGAAGAGACAGAAAATGCACTCACAATGGGGCATGGTCATGCTGAAATCACCTTTCTTCTATTTCTCCATCCTGTCAGGATTTAGGACATGCATACACACATGCCAACATGTTTTTCTTTCTTTTCTTTTCTTTTAATAATTATTTTAATTTCACTTATTATTATTTTACATACACTCACTAGAGAGAGACAGAGAGTGAGTCAGCAAAAGGAAAAGCAAGAAAGCAAGCTGCCAGTCCCAGGACTCTATCTGCAGTCAGGCATGTGGGAAGTGCAGTTTCTCAACCACCATGCCACCTGCTGGCCCAACCCAGCCTGTTTTTCAAGCCACTAGTGCAGGAATTCAAACCCTGTGGGATCTGCTAATAGCTCTCTTAATCACCCTGCTACCGGTGGTCCTGCAGCATACGTGTTTAACTCAGCTCAGTCTACCTTTGAGTGATATATACTTCACTTACAGTATAAAAATCTTGGAGTCAGCAGGTGGTGTAGTGGTTAAGGCACTGGGCCCCCACATGGCTGATTGCAATTTGAGTCCCAGACCCAGCAGCTTGGAAACTCACTCTGGGTATGTGTGCATGCGTGCCCAAAATCTCAAAAGGAAAATGGAGGAGAAGGGATTATGGCATGGCCATAAGGGGGTGATTTCTTGCTGTCTCTCAGTGTTGTGCCAGTGAGCATTCATGCCCTATAGCAAAAAAATCTCTAAAAATAAATAAATAAATCTTAAAGCACAGGGCCAGCTGGTGGCATGGTGGTTAAGACCCTAGACTCTCATGTGGCCAACCATAGTTCGAATCTAAGACTGGTGGCTTGACACTCACAAAGGATGCACGTGCATGCATGTCAGGATCCTGACAGGAGAATGGTGGAGGGAAGACTGCAGTGTGGCCATCCCCTTGGGGGGTAATTTCTCACTTTGCCTCTTTCTGTCTCTGTCTTTCTCTCTCTGGCCAGTGTATGCTCCCTATGCCAAAAACTTTTTAAAAAAACTCTTAAAACACTATACTCTCTTTTCTCCACTTCTAGTATTTGGACTGTTGTCATACTTCATGTATTTTTTAAATTATTTTTTTCATTAATTTACTTCTGAAAAATTTGATAAGAGAGATACACACACACACACACACACAGAGAGAGAGAGAGAGAAAGTGAGAAAGCAAGCCACCAGGAGGTCTGGGATTCGAACTGTGGTCAGCCATGTGGGAGTGTCCAGTGCCTTAACCACCATACCACCTGCTGGACCCCATACTGCATATATTCTAAACTTCACAAACATTGTTTTTATCATTGCTCTAAAGAGTCAATTATCGGGACCAGCAGTTAGCGTAATGCCTATGTCACTGGACTCCCACGTAGTCGACCACGGTTTGAGTCCTGGACCTGGTGGCTTAAACTCACGCCGGGCACGTGTGCGTGTGTGCCCAAGATCCTGAGAGGAGAATGGAGAAGAAGGGATTGCGGTGTGTCCATCCCCCCTGGGGGGTGATTTCTCGCTTTCTGTCTCTCTCTCTCTGTCTGGCGAGTGAGTGCACGCGCCCTATAGCAAAAACCTCTCCAAAAAAAAGAGAGTCAATTATCTTTTAAAGATAATTTAAAACATAGAAAACTTATTTTATATTTATTCACAAAGTTACAGGGCTCTTGGTTCCTTGATTGCTCTAGATTTCCATCTGGTAACATATTCATTTTCCTGAAGGGCTTCCTTTAACATTATTTGCAGTGGCTGACCTTTTGATAATTAATTCTTTGAGCTTTTGTATGTTTGAGGAGTCTTTATCTCACTTTTACTTTTATAATTCAATTTTTGTTATTGTGGTCAAACATAGTTTCCATAAATTTTGGAAAATTTTCAGTCATTTCTTCTTTAAATAATTTTTCTATTCCCTTTCCTTTTTTTTTTTTTTTTTTTTTTAGGAGTTTTGGGTGCGTACACCCGCCAGACAGACAGGGACAGAGAGACAGAAAGCGAGAAATCACCCCCCAGAGGGGATGGCCACGCCACAATCCCTTCTCCTCCTTTCTCCTCTTGGGATCTTGGGCACACATGCACACGCACCCAGCATGAGTTTTAAGCAACCAGGTCTGGGATGCAAACCGCGGTCAACTACATGGGAGTCCAGCAACATAGCCATTATGCTAACTGCTGGTCCTATTCCCTTTCCTTTTGGGATGTGAATCATATTAGACTGCTTAAAGTCTTATAGCCTGCTGATACTCATTCTTTTTATTTTCTTTTTCAATCTTTTTTTTTTCTGCATGCTTTGATTTGGATTGTTTCTATTGCTATACCTTCAAGTTTACTAATCTTTTCTTTTGTAGCATCTAAAGTATTATTTCTTTCCAGAGTATTTTTCATCATTGATATCTTTCGTTAACATGTTCATGCTTTTTTCTACTTTCTTGAGCATATGAAGTATATTAATAATAACTACTAGTCTACTAATTATATCATCTGTATCATTTCTGAGATTCGTTTTACTGATGTATTCTTCTCATTATAAGTTGTATTTCACCCATGGCTGATATTTCTGATTGGCTACTAGAAATTTTGAATTTTACATGTCGAGAGTTGGAAATATTTGGCACTTTTTTAAAGAAGTTTGTGCTATCAGGAGCGTGTGAGTGCGTGCCCAAGATCCCGAGAGTAGAATGGAGGAGAAGGAATTGCGGTGTGGCCATCCCCCCCCCCGGGGGGGTGATTTCTCGCTTTCTGTCTCTCTGTCTCTCTCTGACTTTCTGGTGAACACACGCCCTATAGCAAAAAAAACTCTCAAAAAAAAAGAAAAAAAAAGAAGTTTGTGCTGGGGCCAGCAAGTGGTGTGGTGGTTAAAGGCACTGAACTCCCACATGGACAACTGCAGCTCAAGTCCTAGACCTGGCAGCTTGTTTTCTCACTCTCCCTCCCCTCTCACTCTGTCCCTCTCTGATCAAATTAAAATAAATAAATAAATATTAAATAAATAATAAATAATTCTTAAAAAATAAAGAAGAAGAACAAGTTTGTGCTTTGTTCTGGGAGGCAGTTAAGTTACTTGGAAATACTTTGATCCTTTTGAGTCTTGCTTTTTAGGCTTTGTTAGGTGGGCCCAGCCTTTGCTCTAGGACTCAAACACTCAAATACTCAATCCAGTGCCCCTTATTCATTATAAGATTTCTGCACTCTGGCTCTTGAGAATGTAAACAATTTCTGGCCTTATGTGAGTCCAAATGGTTATTCTGCTTCTTTCTGGTGGTTCTTTCCTTGATCCCTAGTAATTTCTTTCTTTCTTTTTTTTTTTAAAAGATTTATTTATTTATTCATTCATTCATTCATTTTTAATTTGACCAGAGAGAGACACAGAGAGAGAGAGAGGAAAGTGAGAAAGCAAGCCACCAGGTCCAGAACTCAAACAGTGGTTGGCCATGTGGAATATACTAGCGCCACCTACTGGTCCCAACCCCTAGTAGTTTCTTCACATGCATGCACACATCAGTACACTCAGCTGACAATTTGAGGGGAGCCTTCTCCCTTCAAATTGTCAGCTGCAGATCTCTGGAACTGGTGAACTGGTTCTTCCTCTCTGCACAGCTCTTTTCTCTCTAGAGAAAACTCTTCCTCATTGACCTCTCTAAATTATTGGAATGTGTGAAGCTGGTGTGACTTGAGCAAGATCAAGCTTTACTAAGTTTTTTGTTTTTTGTTTTTGTTTTTTAAAGAGATTTTTGCTATAGGGCATATGCACTTGCCAGAGAAACAGAGAGAGACAGAGACAGAAAGTGAAAAATCACACCCCTGGGGCGA